CACCGGGTACCTAGCGGCGGAGCCGGCCCGGCGCGCTGCGGGCGGGGTCGGCGGGATGCGGCGGCCGCACCGTCCTCGCTTTGGTCSCCCACCGGCTGCGGCCCGACCCCGCAGTGCAGCCCCACCGATTCCCCGCGCCGCACCGCGGGGCCGCCGTCGCAGCACCCTAGCGGTCCCGGCTCCATTCCCGGCCCGGTGGGTCTGAGCCGTGTGTGCGGCGGCAGCGCGGGGCACCGGGCCGTGCATCCCCGCCGGGATGCGGCCGGGACGCGCCAAGGTGAACGGTGCGCGGAGGAGCGGGGCCGCCGGCGGCAGGGAGGGAGAGGACACCGGGGATAGAGAGCCGGGGATGAGACACTGGGAGGGACACCAGGATTGAGCACCGAGGGGGGATATTGGGGATGGAGCGCTAGGAAAGGAACACCGTGGGTGCTGGGGGTCGGGACCACTAAGCACCAAGGACCGTCCACAAGGGAGACACCGGGATGGGGAGCACCGGGGGACACTGGGAAAGGGCAGACTGGGAATGGGGCCACCGGGGACGGGATGGCTGGGAACAGAGCCCAGGGCTACCCGCGAAGGGACAGCCAAGCTACTGTCTCTCTCCCTGGGCAGTGGATGGCCAAGGGCACAGTAGCCCCATGGCCAGTTGTGTGAGTCCCCTGGACATCTGCCGTGGATTCTGGCTCACCAAACCCCCATCCTCACAGGGCCGACTAGGTACTCACCATGACTGCAGCACAGCTCGTCACCTGGGGGATGCTCCTGGCCACCGGGGTCCCTGCCAAAACCCAGGGGGTGCTGCCGGCAGGGCTGTCCTTAGAGGGGGACCCCTCGCACAGCCCTGCCTGGGGACAGCAGTGGCCAGATCCATCCCCCACCTGGGAGGCATCCGGGGAGCCAAGCGGTGCCGGGGCCCCAAGGAGTGAGCGCTGGAGAGTCAACAACCCCGTGCACTGGTCCCCACCGCTCCAGGCAGGGGATGGCACCAGGGCACCCCTGGAGATGGAAACCACTACGACAGTTGCTAATACCAAGGTCTGGAAGGATGGCAGCACAGTCCCGGCTGTGACAGAGGAGCCGCTTGTTGCCTTGCGAGGACACGAGACTGAAGGCCAGGACAGCTCCCTGCCCCACGGCTCTGCACTGGGGACACCAGGCCYTGAGGTGCCCACGGACAGAGGGGCAGACTCGCCAGGGCCACCCTGGGCAGGGCAGGGCCTGTCCCTGTCCAGGCAGAGTGTCTCCAAGACAGTCGGCACCCCCAGTCCCCAGCCAACTGTATCCACCATTGCCCTGAATCCCATGCTGGCGGCACGGATGCAGACAGCAGATGCCCACACAGCGGGACAGAGAGCGGCAGAGGGACCCACAGCGGCCCCGGTCCACCCTCAGGACGCACAGCTCACTCCAGCCAGCAGCCAGTCAGTCCCACTGGGCACTGTCTCCGATCCCACGGGCATGGGGCCAGCCTGGGGTCCCCATGCCAGCCCTGGCTCTGCACAGCTGGTGGGCAGCGGGGCGGACACGGGAGGAACCCCCAGCCCCTCCCCAGCTCTGCGCAGCTCCACCCAACAGCTGCCCCACACAGCCCCGTCCTGGGGGCTGRCTGAGCCCTGGACTCGAGTGCTCCCGTCCCACCAGCGCAGCACTCGGAGGGCCCCACGGAGCCACGCCACCACCAGCCCTGGGGATGCAGCCTCTCGCACGGACCTCGGGACCACGGCGCAGCGGGGACCCCAACCCAATTCAGGGTCTGTCCTCAGCACCGGCCCTGCGCTGCTCCCCGCCTCCAGCACGGCCACCGCCGGCACCCCCAGCACAGGTAGGAGCCAGCGCAGTGCGGGGGACCCCTTGGCGGGGACCAAGCTCCCTTAGGAGCCAGCGCCTTGCTCTGCCCTCTCTCGCAGGGCTGCTGCCTGAGGAGGACGTCGGCTCCCCGCAGCAGGTTCGGGGAGCCGTGGGCCCCGTAAGCGTCCCAAACGCCACAAAGACGACCCCACAGCCGACGGTGCATCCCACCACAGGGACGGTCGGGACAAATCGCTCAGGTGGTGATGTAGAGCTGTGTCCAAGCTGTGTCCGYTCTGCAGATGCTGTGGGAGCCCATCCCTGGGGGGTCGGGGCTGGCGGGGAGGGATAGTAGCTATCTTGGGCTGCCCAGCCGGGACACAATGACACCTTCAATCAGGATTGCACCTGACAACGGCCCTAATCTACTCCTGCCCGCAGGGATTAGTGCTAAATGCTCGGTGGGTGGGGCTTCCCCAAGGGGGTGGGGGACGTGACCGGGGATGTGGCACCCCCTGCGCTGGGACTCCTGACACAGAACCCCGACAGGCACTGGTGGGCATCACCGCTGCAGTGCTGGGATGCCACAGCTGATAGATCCCAGTGTGGGGTGCGGGTGGGGACCGGGTGCCCCCCACTCCCCACTGACCGTCCCCTCCTTCCTCCCTGCAGACACTCCAGGGACGCAGCCCCCAGTCCGCAGCACTGCGACCCCCTCGGCCACGTGGCGACGGGCAGGGACGACAMCTCAGCCAGCCCCCCGAGACCCATCCTCGCCGCAGCCACAGCCCAGCCGTGCCCCGCCGGCGCCAGGRGCCAACGGGACCGGGCTGCGCTGGGCCGAGCTGCAGCATCAACTGGGCTTCTCCTGGGAGGCCCATGTCTACGGGGTGGCTGCCGTCTTCCTGCTGCTGGCACTGGGCTGCCTGGCCGGGCTGGCGGGGACAGCCATCCTGCGGCCCCCACACCTGCCCCAYGTTGCGGGGGCCCACGGGCTGCTGCTGGCTGCCTGCCTGCTGCGGGCCACCTTCCTGCTGCTGGATCCCTATGGGGCACGGGGCCGCCTGCCCTCGCCGGCCCTGCTGCTGCTCAGCACAGCCCCTTTCTCCCTGCTGCTCGCCGACTTTGCCCTTCTGCTGCAGCGGCTGCAGCGCCTGGCCCAGCTCCAGCTGCTGCCAGCCCGTCTGCGGAGGCTGCCGGCGCTGGGGGCTGTTGCTGCCCTGCAGAGTGCGGTGATGGGGGCGGCCGACCTGCTGCCGCCTCGGCTGGGGCTCACGGCCGCGCTGGGGCTGCAGGCTCTGGGCTGCGTGGCGGGGGCTCTGCTGCTGGCGGCGGGGCTCTGGGGGTGCTGGCGGGTGCTGCGGGCTCCCTGCGAGGGGCCAGGCCCGGGGCCGCGGCCGGGGGCGCGGGCGCTTCTGRCGGCGGCGGTGGCGGGGCTGCCGGTGTGCGGGCTGCAGCTCTACAGCGCGGTGTGGCTGCGAGGGGTCCTGGGGCCCCCCGGGCGCTTCTCCCGGCCCGGCTGGACGGCACAGCTCTGGCTGCGGATCGGCGAGCTGGGCACGGCCCTGGCGCTGCTGGCGGCCGCCGCCGAGCCCGTGTGCTGCCGGTGCCGCCGCCGGAGCCCCGCCGGCCACTCCTGCTGGGCCAAGGCACTGCGGTACTTCTGCGCCGGCCGCAAAGCTGAGGCACCCGAATACCCCAACAACTGCTACGACTGGGCCGGTGGCAGCACCGGTGGCAGCAGTGTGGAGCGGACACCCGCCAATGACATCTCCAAGAGCCTCATCCGCAACCCAGCGGAGCAAATGCCCCTGCGGGCTCTGAAGGACAGCAACGAGGCCTGGGCAGCTGGCGCCGGGATGCCGGGGCTCAGCCCCAAGTGCCCCAACATGCTGGCCGCCCGCTCCTGCACCGCCTTTGAGCAGGGCTCATCCCCCTCGCTCGGGGAGCTCATCTTCCGCCCGCCGTCCCCCATTGACCTGCGCCGCAGCATCGACCAGGCGCTGTGCCGCCGCCACCTCCTGCACGACGGCCTCTTCGGCCGGGCCCGCCGCGGCTCCGGCTCCTCACTGCACGGCTCCCCAGCCCCCGACAAGACCCCCAGCTTGGGGCGCATGGTGCGGTGCAGCTCGCTCACGGAGCTGCCCGGCCCCCGCCAGCCCCCCGGCACCATCACCGTCACYGTCACCGCCTCGGCCAGCTCGCTGGAGAGCAGCTCACTGAAGATCAGCTGGAACCCCTGGCGCCACGGCCTGTCCTCGCCCGACAGCCTGCCCCTGGACGAGGCGCCCAGCCGGGCCCCGCTCCTGGTGCCCGCCGGAGCCCCCGGATGGGAGCGCGAGGGTCCCCGCGCCCTCCCAGCCCTTGGCAAGGCGGTGGACTCCCGCAGCCTCTCCAGCGACACCATTGAGCTCTGAGCCCGGGACAGGCAGAGACTGGGGGCGCAGGAGGACGATGAGCCCAGTTGGAGGGTGTGGGGGTCTGATCCTGCGCCTCTGTAGGGCCGGGCAGGGGCCGACTCCATTTGTGCCAAACGAGAGAAATAAAGTATGCTGGGAGGAGGCGGTTCTGTTGGCATGTGAAGGCGGTGGTAGGCAGYAGCAGCCCCAATCCCCACCAATTCCTGCCCTGAGCAGCCGAGCTGGGTGTGCAGAGTTTTATTTCCTGAGATATGGACACACGGACAGATGGGCACACCCCGACGGACAAACCACAGACAAATGCAACAGCCACACTCATGCATCCAGCAGGGCCCCCCTGCCGGTACGGCACCCTGCCAATGGCAAGGGAACCCCGACCCCCAGCCTGGGAGGGGAGATGGGCTCTGCCCAGGGATGTGGGGAGGAGGGGTGGGATGGGGGGGCAGCTCTCCCAGCCCCACAGCTCAGGGCATGAGGGGACCCAGCCCCCCACTTCCCCACAGGGAACAGCCTCATGGGAGGGGAGTCCTACAGGGCCAGGAGCCCCAGCTTGGGAGCAGATAACTGGATCACCCCCTCACTTGCCCTGCCACCCCCTCACCTGTCACGATGCCAGGCCTCTCCTCCAGAGCACAAGGAGCTGAGGGCAGCATGCTGTGCCCCCCACACGGTGCTGCACTGCCTGGCATCACCCCTCCAGCCACAGGGGACTGTGTGGGAGCCCCCGGGATCAGGTAGTCCTGGCTCATTCTGCAGGGACAGGAAAAACGAGACCCTATGCTAAGGGGGGTGCTGGGGGACRCATGCAGGGCACAGCATCGTGTGCAGGATGCGGCCTCGGCAGCCAGCCCTGCTTGGGGGGGCCCCGCACCCCAAGCTGAGCCTGCCCCTCCACTTGCACCCAGCAGCCCCAGAGCTATCTGCCCTTCATGAAGCCATCAAGGACACGGTCACTGCGGTCAGAGAGCCAGTAGCCGGCCATGGCAGCCACGGCACCGATGAAGATGGCGGTGAAGACCATGTCACCCTTGGCAGCCAGCGTGGCGAGGGCACAGATCATCACACCAAAGAACATCTGCTGTAGCACCACCACCTCATCATCGGTCACGTCGTCAAAGAAGCCCTTCTCTGGGGCATCTGCRTGGACAACACTCGTGGGAGGGCACAGCTGAGCAGTGAGAGCCCCCCACTGTGTCCCACACGTGCCCAATGCCCATGTCCCCCTGCACTGCATTAGGCCATACCAGGGGGCTTGTCCTCAACGCACTGCCCGTCTCGGCGGACATGGCCTCGGGCGCAGACGCAGCGGTAGCTGCCCTCTGTGTTCTCACACACCTCCTGCACTCCTGTGCACACTGGCTCCTCAGCACTGGCACACTCGTCCACGTCTGGGGGAAGGCAGGGTTCAGGCAGAGCTTGGGCAATGGGGAGGGGGCAGCATGGCCCCCCAGCCCACGGGAGACACTCACCCAGGCACTTGGCTCCGTCCCGCCAGTAGCCCTTGTTGCATTTCTTGCAGCGAGCCGGCCCAGCRCCCATGCAGCCGATGCAAGCCGTGGAGCAATCTGCCGCAAGGAGAGGAGCCAGGGCTGCTTCCCAAGCTCTTCCCCAGCCCTGCCAGGGGTGGCCCCAGGTAGGGAAGAGCCACCTGTATGAAAATCCCCCACCTCCCTCTAACCTCGGCACTCATAGGAGCCCTCTGTGTTGACGCAGTACTGGTTGGCGCGGCAATGTGCCATCTCCGTGCCACACTCATCGATGTCTGTGGGAAAGGTGGGGACAGTCCCACTGAGCTTCAGCTCYGGGTACACAGCCCCCATAGCCCCGAGCTCACCCCTGGCAGTCACTCACCAATGCAGCGGTGCTCGTGCAGCACCCAGCCCCTCTTGCAGCGAAGGCAGCTGGAGTCCTCAGGCCCCGTGCAGCGCCCGCATGCCTGGTAGCACTCTGCAGGCAGGGAGGGCAGGTGTGGGCACAGGCAGGGGGAGCTGCCTGCACCGAGTACCTGGGCAGCACTGGGGAGACCTCCACCTACCAGCACACACGAGATGGCTCTTGTTCCGTGAGGCCTCATAGTAGCCATCACCACACTCGGCGCAGAAGGGGCCGCCGTAGCCTGGGCTGCAGACGCAGAGGCCGGTGCCGCGGCGCGTGCCATCACCATCGCATCGCCCATTGCCACTGCAGGGCTGCTGGGGCCCACCGGCACAGGCTGCACGGGGAGAGACCAGCCGGCTGGCAGCCGGGGCGGGGGGCAGCAGCCAAGGGCCCCCTCCAGCCCCCCACTCATCACAGCTACTCACGCCGGCAGTCTGGGCCATAGGTACCSGGCGGGCAGCAGAGCATCAGCCTGTCCACGCACAGCCATTGGAAGAAGTCGGGKTGCTGCTGCCGCCTGGGGAGGTGGAGACCAGCACTCAGCCCTCTGCCATCCCCCTGTCTGGACCCACCATGTCCCTGTCCCCAGACTCACTCATGGAACCACCACTGCTCCACATGCTCCTCACTCCGCTCCAGCAGCTGGTGGCAGGTGAAATCCGAGGGGGCACAGACACCCTCCAGCACCTCCAGCAGACGGGTCTCGCTGCCAGGGACAAGGGCCAGTGTGGGATGTGGCTTCTGGGGCAGTTGGGCTTTCCCAACCCCTCCTTGAGGTCACTTACCTGTGCTGGTACTTGGACAGCTTCTCCTCCTCCCAGGCTGTGTTACCTCCACCGAAGCCCTCATGCTCTGTCCGCTCCAGGCCCTGGGTGCATGGTGGGGGTGGCAGTGCCGGCATGGGACCCCCCGATAGCCCCTCTCCCCATAGGGTCCCACCAGACGCGTCACCGTCAGGAACCTGCCACCCTCTCCCCTCCCCAGAGCCCAGTTATTGTGCCCCTGGGAATACTGTGGAGTGTCTCCGCTTCACCAATGTCCCCCCAAGCCACCCCTCTACCAGACCCTGTCACCACCCTTAGCCCCCGGTCTGTGATGCCTCTGGGGCCCGCAGCCACATCACCGCACCCAGGACTCCCTTCATCCCTGCTCACTACCACCTCCGGGCCATGTCCCCCATGTTGCCACCCGTGGTTCCCCCCCGTCACTGTCCCCTCGYCCCCGGTTCCCCCCACAGCAGGGGCTGTGTCATCCCACATCCCACACCCTTCGGTCCCATTACGCCCTGTGTGTGCCCCCGCCCCGCACCCTGCTGAAGCTGTCGGCGAGGCCGCGGCAGGCTCGGCACGGCTCGGCCCCGTCCCGGTGGGGGTCGGGTTCGGCGTGAGCCGCTAGCAGGACCCCACCGAGGAGGACGGCCCCCAGGAGGGTCCCCAGCCCGGGCCCCCTGCGCCGGGRCGACCGCGGCAGCACCGGCAGCGGCCCCATCGTCCCCCGCCCCGCCCGCACCACGTGGGCCACGCCCGCTGACTCAGCGCGCGCCGCCCCGCCAATGGGCGCGCTCCGCTGCCGCCGGCCCCCGCTCCCAGCCAATCAACGCCGCCCGCTGCGCCCGCCCACCCGCGCCTTAAAGGGGCCGCGGGCCAAGGCACCCACTGGGGACAGTGCTGCTGGGCCGCGGCCGGTGACCCCGCACGGAGCCGTGTCGGCTGCCCGGAGCGCACCGGCTCGGCTCCCGCCTGGCCTGGGAGARGCCCTCAAACCATCCCCCTCAGCCAAACCAGTCCAGTTCACCTTTCTCCCTTCAGTCAAACTRGTCCAGTTCCTCCTTGCCCCCCCAAACTGGCCCGGTTCCCTCTCACTGTTCTCAAATTTGCCCAGTTCCCCCTCATCTCACCCTAAACTGGTCCAATTTCTTCTCACACTTTCCCCCAAACCGAATGAGTTGCCACTCATTCCCCAGTGAGCTGSTCCAGTTTGCCATCACCACCCCAAATTAGTCCAGTTCCCCTTCATACCCCCCCAACTGATCGAGTTCCTCATCCACCCTCCAACCAAACCAACCCCCTTCCCCTTCATGGCCCAAACAGCCCAGTCCCCTTGCTGTCCCCATCACTCCTCTCCATGCCATCCGAGACCACCCCAYCACCCCTTCCCAACCCATCCCAGTCCTTGCTGGACTCAGAGCTGGACTCACACTCAACAAAAGCATTGTCACCCCTTTATTCCCCCACTGCCCGCCGCAGACCCTCGGCCACCGCCACCACATATGGCTCCAGCCACCGGCCCCGCCGCYGAGTTGGGCCTGCCAGTGCCTGCAAGAACCCCTCCATCTCGCTGGGCAGTGCAAAGGCAGGGGCTGCCCGCAGTGCTGGGGGCACTGCTGGCACCAAGGCCTCCAGCCGGGCCACCACGTAGTGCCCATTGCCCACCGCCAGCGCTGGCATGGCACAGGACAGAGCTGCCGCAAACACCTCGCAGGGTGCCACTGTGGGGACATCGTCAGGGCCAGGGTCGTGCTGGGGCCCAAAGCTACTTTCAGCAGACCCTGGCACAGCCCTCGCCCCGGTGTCCCAGCGGTGTGCAGCAGCCACAGCTGCCCGAGAGAGGAGGAGGATGATGGTGTCACCGTCACGCAGTGCCCGGCGGTGCTGGGCGTGCAGCCAGGGCAGTGGCCCCAAAGCCGCTACCCCGCTGCCACCTCCTGGTGCTGCCACCACCGCCAGCCCCAGCGAGTGCAGAGCTGCCATCAAGGCACACGCTGCCCGCTCTGCCACCGGCTCTGCTGCGTGCACAAGAAGTGCCTGCCGGCCTTGCAGAGGACCTGAGGGGGGATCAACAATGTCTGCATCCTTCTGGGCACCCTGTACCCATCCTGTGGTAGGAGGCATGCCAGGAGCACCCATGATGGGGGAGACCATTCCCTGCCTCTGTCCCCCAACCTCCGCAACATCCCCTGTACCCAAGCTAAAGAACAGCCACAACAGGAAGCAGCTGAGACCACCTTATGGGGGACCCCTCCCCTTGTCAGTCCCTCAATCTTCTTGCTGAACCCTTTACCCACCCTAAGGGTTAGCCATGGTGGGAGGCAGGTTGCAATCTGTTCTCTCCCACTCCCGAGAGCGTTTTCATCCTCTTCTCTGTTTCCCTACACCTCTACCCACCCTGTGGGGCAGGCAAACACGAACCAGTTCTGAAACCCCACCCTCTGACCCCTCTGGAATAGGCATAGACTTCCCACTCCCCTACAGGCCCCAGGCTCAACCCACACTCACCCCTGGAGCCATAGCCAGCCCGCAGGGACTTCAGCCATCCTGCACGTAGGAGAGACAGTGAGGTGGGGTCCCAGGAGGGGTCCCAGGCCAGGCAAAGCCCCCAGAAGTGCACCMCTCACCTTTCATGTCCTCCTTCTTCAGCAAGAGCAGCAGTAGCAGACAGGCGGCTCCCAGWAGCACCCCCATCCACACCAGTGCCCAGTGGGTACGCAGATCTGCAGGGCAGGATCAGCATCCACTGAGGGCTCCCGGTGCCCAAGAAGGATGTCCATTGGCTCCACAGGTGGGTCCCCTCCCTCAGCCCTCCATTCTCCCTCCTMTCCCCACTGTCCCTGTCAACACTCACACTTGTGCAGGGGACAGGCCCAGAGCGCAAACTCAGTGCTGTTCTCAGGGTGCCACAGCTGTGGGGGACACAGGGACATGTCACACACTGCCCAGGCCCTACCCGCTGCCCGCTGGTTGCCCACACTGACCTGCCAGCACTGTCCTGCTGCCACATCCCACTGCAGATCCTGCTCCAGCAGCCCAGGGTGCCCTGCTCCCTGCAACAGCACAGTGGGTCAGACAGCAGTGCCACCACTGCTGGACACCGAGATCCCTGTGCCACCGGTGCCACTGCTGCCAGGACATTGGGGTCCCTTCCCCTTTACCGTGCTGGTGAAACTGGTGAGGGGCGTGCAGGCACCCTGCTCCACGGCACACAGTGAGGCATTCCCCTCATGCTCCAGCAGCAGGAGGTCATCGGGGTGGCCGGGCAGCRCTCCTGGAGATGTGCCAAGGGGCTGGGGAGGTGTCGAGGGGAGGCCAAGGAGGGCTTCCCCCACAGCTGGACCCACAATCTGCCCCTGCCCTCCCACCCCAGCAGTACTCACGGTCCCGCAGGCACTGGGTCAGCTGGACCTGCCCACCGCTCCACACCTGCCCCAGAGAGCAGGTTAGCACTGCCTGGAGGCCATGTGGGGCCGCCCGTGGGGCAGCTGTGGGGCAGAGTGGTGTCCTACCTGCACACAGATGTTGGGGTGTGGCYGCAGCCCTCCAAACTCCTGGGGTCCCTGCGAGTGGAAGGGATGCTCCATAACTGCCACCACCATCCTTCACAAAGCTCCAGTGCCCCACAGAATCCCACGGAGCCCCACTCACCTGTGCCTTGGCGGGCTGCTGCAGGCCAGGGAGGGGTTGGCAGGGCCCAGAGGGCACCGGCTGCCAGCAGGGYACCAGCTCAGCCAGGAGGTCACAGGGGGCTGAGAGGGAGCAGGTCAGCACCTGGCCCTCGGTGTGCAGGACCAGCTGGCTCTGCAGCCACAGGCGCTCCCAGGCCTCAGCATCTGCAGCAGCACCAGGACAGGGGTGTCACCCTGTGTGGTGTCCCCGTGTGTCCCAGCCTCCTAGAGCCCAGCCCAAATGAATGTACCATGAGAGAAGGGGCACAGGGTGGCCCGCAGCGGGTCCTGGGTTTCCAGCCAGACCTGGGAGTGGGRAGAAACAAAAATATCCATGCTGTGACTGTGACCCAGCTGGCTGCCTTGGGACAGCAGAGGAAGAAATATGGAGCTTTGTGCCCCTTTTTAGTGGTATCCTGCCACCCCCATGGTGCCCTGTTGGATGCCCACCTGCAGGCAGAGGCAGGGCAGCACCTCATCGGCGGGCAGGACGTAGTGCATGGGACTGCTCTGCTACCAGCAACCAGATGTGGGTCACCCCATGGCAAATCACCCCCAGCAGGGTGACCCAGGGYGACCCACTCCCAGGGGACCCTCTCCCAGCACACTGCCTACAACACAGACACGGCTTCTCGGGAATGGGGAGGGGGGCAGCGATCACAGAACACACAGGGTGGGGAATCAGGGAAGGAGGTCATACTCACCAAGGTCACCACACGCCCTGGCCCACTGGTGCCATGGCTATGGTTGTGGTAGAGCCGAAGGGTGTAGCTGTGCCCCGCTGCAGCCCCCTGCACCTCCACAACCACATCCTTCTGCCCCGGGGAGACCCGCAGCCTGGGCACTGCGTCAGAGGCAGCTCAGGTTACCCAGCTCCTGGCACTACCCACCCAGCACCATGGCACAGGGCATGGCACCGCCGGGGTCACTCTCACCCCTGGTACCCACCACCCACTTCTCCCCAGGGGATGCAAACCAAGGTGGGGTGACACCCTAACCTACCTTGGCACCGGGGGACAGCACTCTGTGCCGCAGGCCATGAGCAATCTGTGGGAACAGGGAGTCAGCGGGCAGGGGGGCTGGGGCCACGGCAGAGGACCTGCTGGGGCTCACCTGGCACCCGCTGCTGCTGGCTCAGCCTCTGCCGCCCCCGCGAGTTTGTGTACGCCGTGACGTGGAGCTCGGAGCCCAGCGGCGCCTCGAAGCACCGGAAGATCACCCAGCCCTGGGCAGGAAAACCACCACCCCATTGTGGTGAGGCACTGGCACCGCCAGCACCCACCTCCCTGGGGCACGGGAACAGGACCCCCATGCCACAGACACGTGCTGGTGCCAGCACCCACATCCCCAGTGCCCAAGGACTGGCAGTGTTGGGACACCARTTCCTGGTGCCCGCCATCTACGTACCACAGTTCGGCCACGTAGTCTGGGGCCCAAGGGTGCCCAGACTTCYACAGCCACACAGCGGGATGAGGCATAAGTGTGCCCAGAGAGCAGCAGCAGCCCAGTGATGTTGGGCTGGGACGAGGTGGCCCCAGTMACTGGTGACCACTGTCCCCCATCATGGCTATCCTCTGTCCCAGGGGTGCCTGGCAGCCCGGAGCGGTGGGGCTCGGTGGCMGTGTTGGTGGCAGGTGACAAGGCCAGGCGCACGTGTGCCTCCAGGCAGGGCACGCAGGCCATGGGCTCGGTGCAGCGCAGCGTCGGCTCCAGCCGCAGACGAGCCAGGGCCAGCCCGTGCCTGGGCCCCGGGGGCTCTGTCCCGCACAGCACATCGGTGTCTGGGGGGACAGAGAGGGCAGCGTGGGGGCGGGTCCCCRTGGCCTGGGTGGGGCGGGGGCCATGGCACGTCGATGGCACTTACCCAAGAGGCGGCAGGTGAGGCCCTGGGGGAGGCAGGGGTGAGGCCGGTGCTGGTGCCAGGTGCCCCACACGCGCGATGGTGGCACCAACCCACCTTGGAGCAGGCCAGGGCATCGCGGGGATCCCCGCGCCCACCCGCCAGCCCCAGCACCAGCACCAGCAGGAGCTGCCTCAGTGCGCGCATGGTGGGGCCGGGGCCCTGCGCTGCCCCGGCCCCACGCTGGCTCCTCCCCAGCAGCCCCTGTCCCGGCTCCACGGGCCCCGCCGCCGCCGCCGGCTCCCGCTTCCTGCTCCGATCCCGGACACCCGGCTCCTTGCGTGGCGTCAGCAACCGCCCTGGGGTGGGGCCTCCCGTTCCCGCACCGACCGCGGACGGCTCCGTGCCCCTGCCCCCCGGGAGGGTTTGGGGCCCCGCAGGGACGAGTTGGCTCCATGGCACCGGCASAGTGCCAGGCCGGCCCCAGGCAGCCGCGGCGGCTGGGGGACATGGTGTGGCGGCCGTGTCGCTACGGGCTGTGGCCAGCCGGGTGCGTCCTCCTGCCCCTCCGTGCTGCACAGGGACACTGGGCAGCCTCCACCCCTCCGGGACACCAACAAAAACCCTCGATAACCGGACAAACAACRGGGCAGGGTGAAATAAAGCCTTTATTGCTTCCACCCCAGACCAAGTCCTGCCGGCAATGTCGGGGCAAAGAGCAGGGCTAGGCTGTGCCCAGCACCTGCCCCTCTAGCCACCTGTGCCTGGGCAGGGCCGGGAGCCTCCCCATCTCTCAGCTTCTTCCTGCACCACCCTAACCCCTCGCTTGGAGTTGGGAGTAGACGTCCAGAGGGGCTTCTATGGCGTCTCCTCTGGAGCAGATCCCTGTATGGGAATAAAGCTGCCCTGCTMGGGACAGCATCTCCACTCCTGGCCACAGCTGGATGCTCGCTCTGGCCCCTGCAGCACACTCCGTGACTGAGGCCAGTCCTGCTTGGACCCCGGGGCCCCTTCCTGGGCACCCAYGGGTGCCCCTCCTGCCACCGCAGTGGGCACACGCTCACCTGTGCCCTGCCTCTCCCTGGTAGAGCCCCTGCCCTCAATGAGGGCTGTGCCTAACCATGACCCCCCACAGCCATGCCCAGCTCAGCCGCAGCCTGGGCACTCAGGTGCCAGCAGCTGCCCCRGGGGGCCGGGCCGGGGAATTGCCCTCCCCAGTCCCCACCTCCAGCAGCCGATGCAGAAGCCTCCCRGGCCTGCCCCGCTGGCAGCGGCGAGGGGCCGGGGGGCTGCCCCGCAGGGCACCCAGCAGCCCGGGCAGCTGCCGGGGCAGGCGATAGGTGGGCAGGGGCCGGAGGGGCCGGGGGACATCGCGGGGGCTGCAGAGCCGGCTGAAATAGGCCAGGACCCACCCGCGGCCTCGGCCCGCCGCCCCCAGCTCCCCATGTAGGCAGGCCATGGCTGCACCAAAGATGTCATGGGCATCCCTGGGYGTCCCGTCGGCCATCCCGACCTGCCACCGATGAAAGAGCCGGGCACTGCCCCGGCTCCAGAGGAGGAGGACGGTGCCACCCTGGCGGCCCACACGGCCCCGCTGGGCGTAGAGCCAGGGCAGGGCGCCCGCCTGTCCCAAGCCACCGGCTTCCCATAGGTCCAGGTGCACGTCGCAGCCCAGCCCTGCGCGCAGCCGCTCGGCCAGGGCACACACCAGCCCCAGGTGCTCCTCTGAGTCTGGCGAGTACAGCAGCAGCACGGGGCGCCCACCAGGGACACCTGCAGGATGGAGGGGACAGCAGTGACAGCCCCGTGTTCTACTGGCATCTCCAGGGGACATCCTGCCATCCACTGCCCTGGGACCCCCTGCAGCCCAGGAACTGGCACCCCCTGGCATTCCAGCCCCACAATCACTGTGACTGCTGCTCTCCCTTCTGCAGCCCCTCCCAGTGCTCACCTCTGTCTGCTCTCCAGGCACCTCGGCAGTTGAGGAGCAGCACAGTCACCACCAGTCCCAGTGCCAGCACCAGCCCCAGCAACCCAAAGTGCCTGTGGGAGACTGGGAAAGGGGCAGTAAGGAGTGTGTCTGCCCATTCCCACTGCCCCTTGAGTCCCCCCCAGGATCCCCTCTCACCGTCAGGACAGAGCAGCTGCTTCCGAGCAAAATGCACATCCGAGCGCCACACCTGGGGAAGGGGCTGGGTGAGAGGGGGACCATGTTGGGTCCCCACATGGCACAGATGCCAGCACAGGGGTCATCTTACCAGCACACAGCTGCCCAGGACCTGCACTGGCAGCAACAGCGCCAGCTCCCCTGGGGCAGAGCCCTCTGGCTGCAAAGCACAAGGGCAGGGTCAGTGCGGGTCTGTCCCCAYCATGTCCCCCCCAGCCCCACAACACTCRCCTGTGTGACAGTGTAGAGCGGGGCCTCGGGCTCGCACTGCCCGGCCCGGCGCTGGCACAGGGCYGCACTGAAGGCCGCAGGGATGCGGGAGGTGAGGTGCAGGCGCAGCTGGAGCCCCCAGACACTCACTGAGACATTCCAGGCAGTCTCTGCAACCACCRAAGAGAAAGGGGAGGTTGCAGCATGCCCAATAGGGTGAGAGGTGAAAGGGAGCCCAGGGCAGGGCTGTGCTTAGCCTAGGACTGTCTCCTGCCCATAGGGCTCACCTGGCCGGTGGGGACACTCCACATGGCTGCTGTTCTTGTAGGAGAACTGAGGGGAGGTGGGATCAGCAAAGGGCATGGTGAGCTGCCATTGTCCCCCACAGCCCCACAGCCCCTTCCCAAGTGGTGCCCACACACCCACTGGGGCTTACTCGGAAGCAGAGCTGTGGATGCACATCCACCTTGTCCAGTATGTACACCTGGAACGAATGGAGAGTGTGTCACTGTCACCATTCCTGACCCACACAGCCCACAGGCACCCCAGTACCCACCCACTGCCCTATTGGGTCCCTGAGGTCCAGTGGATGACCCAGGCAAGGGCACAGTGCCATATCCTGTGATGCCTGAGACCAGGAGCTCTCACCTGCTCATCCTGACTGGCGGTGGAATTGGGGATGTCGTGGCAGGGTGCAGCCTCATCCTCTGCCTCCCTCCAGCACAGGGTGGCCYGTGGGTGCAGGGGGCAGCTGGCATTCAACACCATTGCCATCTGGTCCTTGCTGCTGGTGCTGTAGTCCTGGAAGTGCACCGAGGACCACAACTCGGGACCATCTGTGGGACACTGTGTCAGTGGGGTAGGGAGACMCCAAGGGACAACCCTGGGACTCAGCTCTCCTCCCTGAAGCCACTCACAGGCATCTGGCTGGTCACGGAAGGGGCAGCGCTTTCTCCGTGGGCTGTCGTGGTGGGGGTAGGAGGCCTGGGGGAGCAGAGCAGGATGGTCAGGGCAGTATATACCCCCACCCCTCCTGTGAGGGCAGGGAGAGGGGCTGTGGCAGCTCTAGGGGGAGGCAGCCCACCTCAATGCACAGGCAGGGCACCAGAAACTTGTAGGGCAGTGAGATATGGCCRCCTCCTTCCACCAGCACCTACAGCATGGAGGAAGCATCAGCTGGCAGGRAGCATGTCCCCCAGTCTGAGTTGGAGGTGTCAGGGGGCAGAGCCATTACCTGCTGGTGGAAGGGCCRGGGCAACTCCTCACACTCCAGGGCCAGCTGATGGCACAGCCGCACCATGAGGGCAGGACCCTCGGGCACCCGCACCTCAATGGCCCGCATCTCAGGGACCCACGCGTGGGTGAAGACAGGCCCTAAGAGCAGGCAGGGGGTCAGCTGGCACCGGAGTCCCCCCAGGACACCCCCCGGCCCTTCCAGTCTCACCGGGTGGCTCCGCGGTGACCAGACGGCTGCGGCTCAGGGTCAAGCCCCGGTCTGGGATGGTGTGGAGGGAGACGAGGACTTGCCGCCCGCTCTCTGCTGGGAAGCAGTCGAACTGCACCTGCCACTGCAGGGAGCAGGGGTCAGTGGGTGCTCCGGGCCTCGGTGTCCCCCGGCTCCACCGCCCACCCCCACTCACCGTTGAGCTGCCCGGCACCCGCCGTTGCTGCAAGACCTGCAGCCAGCCAGCCCGGTTGGAGCCCAGCTCCAGGAAGGTAAGCTGCAGTCCCCGGAGACCTCCGAGCTCTGCGAGAAACGGGTGTGGGGTGCTGACACGGGTGGGAAAACGGGGCGTGTGTCCCCCGGCGCGGGGATGCCCGGCCCCTCCACCCCCSCCCGTACCTGCGCTGGGGAGGGCCAGGCGCACCCGCAGGCAGGGCTGGCAGGGCTGCGCGGGCAGGCACAGCCGGGCACGGCTCAGCGACAGGGCGGGCGGCTCCAGCGGCGGCCCGGGGCGGGACGGGCAGCGGCAGCGGAGGCGGCTCAGCGTACTGTCGGCTGCAGAGGGAGAGCAAAAGGGGGGCGGCCGTGCGCCGGGAGTCCCGCAGGCAGCAGGAGCCCCGGAGTCTGGGAGTGCTTGGAAGGGGGAGAGCCCGGGAAGGGAGAGTCCCGGGAAGGTGTACTCGGAAGGGAGGTGCCCCGGGGATCTTAAGTCCTGGCAAACCAGACTCGGTGATTCGGAGTCCTAGGAAGCAGGAACCCACGGGGACCGGGAGTCCTCCGAAACGGGGCGCCTCGGGAATCCGGAGTTTTTGGAAGCGGGGAGCCCCGAGAGCCAGAAGTCCCGGGGATCGGGAGTCCTCGGAAGCGGGGAGCCCAGTGCCCCGGAAACCGGGAGCCCTCCCATCCCCCAGGACCCAGCAGCCACGGGAGGGGGAAGCCCCACCACCCCGCCGCATCCTGGAGCCGGTATCGCCGGGCAGGGGCAGCCCCGCGCTGGCAGCCCTGCCCCGCCGCTACTCACCGGTGGCCCGGCAGTCCTGCAAGCAAAGAGACGGGAGTGAGCGCGGCGTCGCCCGCCTCCCACTTTCCCCCGCCACCTCCCTTCCCGGCGCTCACGAAGTTGGCGGAGACCAGGAGGCCGGTCACATCGACCCCGGTCCCGGGCGGCGGCATCAGCAGCAGCGCGGCGGCAGCGGCGAGCAGCACCGGGCGCCCCATGGCCGAGCGCCGCCGCTCCCCTCCCCTCCCCGCCCCGCCCCGGGCCGGCCCCGCCGCATTCCTCCACCGGCACGTGCAGCCCCGCCGCGCCCCCCCCGCTACCGGGCGGCGCTTCCTGCGGCGCAGACACGCGTGGGTGCGCGGACGGTGCTTTATTTCCATAGATCAACACGCGGAGGAAGGGGCACGCACCCCAGGGACCCTCCACGGTCCCAGCCTTCGGGAGCGCCCCCCTTGCATGCGAGCCCGGGGCCGTGGTGTGGCTCAGACACCGACTCCGTGATCCCCGAGGATCCCCCACCCACCGGAGCTGCGCCAGCGCCGCCCCACAGGACTGAACTGCAGAGCTTCAGCACCTCACGGAGCCCACCCATSCCCGCTCATTTCTTCTTCTTCTCCTGCGTGCTAGTGAACCAAGAGTCCAGCAGCTTCTTGCTATAGTAGAGTTGCCAGCCATGCACCTGCGCGGCCACCACCACCACCAGGTACATGACAGAGACGGCTGAGAAGCCGAAGATGAAGCGGTAAGCTTTGCCGTGGCGGTAGAGCTGCTGTGCCATGGGGAACATCTCCATGGCCCCGTAGATGAGGGGAGCCACGGAAAAGAGGCCGGTGCTGATCATGGAGAGTACCAGGTAGCTGATGTTGTTGCGAGGGAAGGACAGGAGGCCCAGGAGGGAGGGCAGGATGCTGAGCAGATAGGGGTACTCCCACTGGTAGGGCATGGCCACCTGGTCGTGGGGCAGCAGCTTGAGGTGCCCCACGCACATCTGGGCCAGGAGCAGCAGCCAGATGATCACATGCGTGTAAATCAGCTTCTTGATCTCCGACTTCAGGGTCACGCTGAGGAGAGAGTGTGGGGCCATCAGAGCCTGCTGAGGGTCGCGTGTCCCCCGCGGAGTCCCGGGGAAGGGGACACCTACCTCATCTGGTAGTGCGAGGCCACGCGCTCCCGGTGCTGGAAGTCGCTGCCATCGGTGCCGGCGGCGCGGGGACCCCCGCGAGAGGCCATGGTGCTGTCCTGGGGAGGCACAGCGTCAGGCGGGGCCGCCCTCCCCGCCCGCCTTCCCGGCGCAGCCCCAACACCAGCCCCCCGCGCCTCCCGCCCACAGTGACAGCCCCGAGGCTCCCTCCCCGTGACCGCCCGCCCCTCCGGGACATCCCTCCGGTGACTCCCGCACGGGAAACACCCCCCGCCCGCCGCTCCCCGCCGTGCCGCACCTGCGGGCAGGACCCTCTGCCCGCGCTTCCGCTGCTCTATGGCCGCGGCCGCCGGCTCCGGATGCTGGGGGCGCCGCTCGGCGCAGGCGCGGCCGTGCCGCCATGGCGGGGACCGGGAGCGCCGCCGCCACCGTGCGCGGGCTGGCACGCGCGGGACCGGGAGCGCGCGCCGCACGGTCAGCGGGGCGCGGAGGCGCGCGCGGCGGGTGCGTTTGTGTCTGTGTACGTGTATGTTTGTGTGCATGTATGTTTGTGTGCATGTATGTTTGCGTTTGTGTATGTGTACGTGTATGTTTGTGCACGTGTATGTTTGTGCACGTGTATGTTTGTGTATGTGTACGTGTATGTTTGTGTGCGTTTGTGTATGTGCACGTGTATGTTTGTGTATGTGTACGTGAATGTTCGTGTGCGTTTGTGTATGTGTACATGTATGTTTGTGTACGTGTATGTTTGTGTACATGTATGTTTGTGTATGTGTGCGCGTATGTTTGTGTGCGTTTGTGTCTGTGTACACGGGGTGTGTACATGGGGTGTGTGGGTACTTGGGGTGCGAGTCCCTGGGTATCCAGGGGCTGTGTGCACTGGCACCTGGAGATGCACACACGTGGGAGGTGGGTGGGAGCCCACTGGGGATGCACGCACGTGGGTACAGAGGGGTGATGGGGCGTGTGTGGGGTTGGGGACACAGTGCGGGGTTGCACATCTGTGAGCGCAGAAGGGCTGGGGAAGCACGAGGATGTGGGGACACGCATGGAGAGGAGGGCGGACAGGGATGGGTGAGATTTACGGACACGCAGGGTGGGGTGCAGGGTACGTGACTGCATGCCCCCCTGCCCACTCTATCCCCTGCAGRTGGAGGCAGCCGCTGGGCCCCGAGGAGACGCTGGAACTGTTGGAGGGCTCCGTGGTGCACCGGGAAGGTACCTGTGACAGGGGAGGATGGGGGCAGGGGAGACAGTGAGGGTGGGCACAGCCTGACCAGACTTCCCCTCGCCAGGAGCCCTGCTAGCCCTGAACAAGCCTCCAGGCCTGCCCATCCTGGGTGAGTATGGGACAAGAAGAGGGGTCGGCTGGGGCTGGGGGTACCTACATGGGGGGCTCAGTGTGTGTTGACTAGCCAACATCTCCCCAGGGCGTCCTGGGGATCTAAGCCTGGACACACTGCTGCCAGCACTGAGACGACGCCTGGGCCTCTCTGCTGAGCTCCATGTGGTGAAGGCTCCTGCCAGGTATGGTGGGAGGGTAGGAGCTTCCAGGCTGGGGGTCCTGGGGTGGAGCAGMGGGTGCATTTTCTCCTCCAGGGCTGAGAGCAGCCATGTCCCACAGGGAGTGTTCTGGCCTTGTTCTCCTGTCTGGCTGCTACCACACCACTAAGAAGCTGCAGCAGTTCTTCACCAATGCTCGCCGGAGAGGCCAGTACCCTGCCACGTATCGGTGAGTCCTTGGGACCCTGTCATGCTGGCATGGGGTCCTGTCCCCTCCTCACCACCTTTCCCTGCAGTGCCGTCACTGTGGGAGTCCCAGCGGAGGCAGAGGGTGATGTCCGCACTGGGCTGTGCTGGCAGCAGCAGGGGGACAGAGCCATGGTAAGGGGGTGCCAGCGGGCTGGGGGCACGGCGGGGTACCCCAGGGAGTGCTGAGGGCTATGCTCTGCAGGTGGTGCCAGTGCCAGCCCCAGGACGCCACAGTCTGGCCAGGAAGGATGTGAAGAGCACCCTGACGCACTACCGGGTGCTGGGCGCCATGGGGGGCTGTGCCCTCCTCCAGCTCCAGCCCAGGACAGGTCAGTGGTCCCCCGACACCTCCACCACCTCAGCCATGCTTCCTGATCCCTGCAATCTCATCTTCCCCWTTCCTCCCCAGCCTTCCCAGAACAGCTCCAGGTGCACCTGACGCTGCTGCTGTGTCCGGCCCTGGGTGACCACRAGCACTCTTCCCGCGTGGGCAGGGTGCTGGGGGTGCCCTTCCTTCTGACCCCCGAGACTGCTCCGACCCGCACACAGGTATTTGGTCAATGTGGATGCTGGGTGGAGCATTCAGCACAGTCCTCAGTGATCCCACTGAGCTGCCCACCCTCATTGCAGGTGCTGGACGAGGAGTTGCTGTCCCGGCTGGGGCTTTCTCCACGGCAGCTCCATCACCTCCCACTCCACATCCACCTGCAGGAGCTGATGCTGCCCGAGGGCCCCCTCAGTGCCCCACCACCACCCCACTTCCTGCACACTCTGCGCTGCCTGGGGCTGCCTGAGCACTAGGAGCCCTAGTGCTGCAGGGGARCACCCACTCCACCCTTCTGCTCTCTATTACCCCATTAAAATCCCCTCCTGCTAGTGGGGTGGCTCAGCACACAGTTCTTTTCCTGGCACACACAGGATGCRTTTRCYCTGGCTGTCCCTCTGGCATTGCTGGGGGCACCAGCCCTGCCACCACCTTGTGCCTGCCCTGGTTCCAAGTGCTAGGATGCAGCACCATCATCACCTACCATAGCTCTGTGACCGCAGGCAGGAGCAGAGGTGGCTTTTCCTGCCTGCACTCTGCCCCAGCAGCCCCAGAGGTCCCACCTGCAGCCCCRTCCCAGGGGCAGTCCCAGCCCTCCCCACAACTCTCACACACAGAAGGTCCGAGCCAGGCTCCTTATCACAGAACCATTTTAAAGCGCGCATGAGGAAGGAGGTGGGTACCATAACATAGCAGTGAGAGCTCTTCAGGATGAGAGGCAGCTGGGTTCTGTGGTGTTGGGTCCACTCCTGGGGGTGTCTCAGTGTCCCAGGTCTTCTGCATCCCATTGGGAGCYGCTGTGTGCTTCTCCAGGCACCGGGTCCTGGTGCTCTGTGCAGACAGAGGTTGGCACAGGGGTTTGGCAGGAGAGAAGGAGCGGGCACTGCCCTGGGATAGCCAGGGGTTGCTGGGGGTTCCCCGGGGTGGCARCACAGGCATCCAAGCCAGGGGACAGCTACTGATGTGTGGGTGTGTGGCCTGGGGCTGYCCGGGCAGGCAACTGAGCCATGGCATCCCCTGGCTCCCAGCGGAGGAGGCCCGAGACTTTGGCGATGCTGTGGGGTTAGAACTGGGGGAAGAGCAGTTGCTCCATTGCTCCAGAGGAGGCACGTTCACTGTTGCTGCTCTGGGCTGGGGCACGTCTGGGGACACAGGTGGCTTGGAAGCCTTGGACACAGTGGTGGGAGATCGATGCTGTGCTCTTTGGGGCACCTGAGTGGTCCTGCTCCCTGGGGACACAGATGGCTTTGAGGCCCTGGGCACAGTGGTGGGGGATGGATGCTGTGCTCTCAGGGGCACCTGAGTGGTCCTGCTCCCTGGGGACACAGGTGACTTGGAGACCTTGGACATGGTGGGAGATGGATGCTGTGCTCTCAGGGGCACCTGGGTGGTCGTGCTCCCTGGGGACATAGGTGGCTTGGAAGCCCTGGGCACAGTGGTGGGAGATGGATGCTGTGCTTGCTTGGGCACCCGGATGGTCCTTCTCACTGGGGACACAGGGAGCCTGGGGACCCTGGGCCCAGTGAGGAATTGTGCTTGCTTGGGCACCTGGATGGCTCTGCCCCCTGGGAACACAAGGAGCTTGGGGGCACTGAGCATAGTGGTGATAAATTGATGCTTGTGTACATTGGTAGCTCTGGCTCCTGGGGACGCAGGGTGGTGGAAGGCACAGGGTGAAGCACTGGGGTGCTTGTCCTGGGCCTGGTGCTCTGCTGACTGGGGCCTCTTCAGGGAATAGCCTTTGACCATCAGCTTCACATGCCCTGACAGAGGCTTGGGCACAGCTGCCTGTAGAGAGACATAGCAGGGAGTGGGGTCTCAGGGTGCCTGGGAGGTGTCTGCCCTCCCCATCCCCCCAGCCCACCTCCTTGTAGATGAGCTCAAACGCYCCRATGGAACAGGTGGGGTCRTCCTTGCGGTCGAGCACGAGGCGCAGYGTGTCCCGCTGAACGTTGGCGCAGAGCTGGCGGGTCACCGCTGACGAGGGGCTCATGGAGGGGCAGGAGTTGATCTCCAGCAGCCAGGGCTGGCAGTCCTCCCCGACAAGAAAGTCGGCTCCATAGAGCTCAAAGTTGCCCTTGCGGAAGCACACCTGGTCCTGGGCGCTGCGCAGGGCGTTCAGGATCGCCGCCTTCATGCCGGGCACCAGCACCCGGTGCCAAGCATCCGCCCGCCCCAGCCGTGCCAAGTGTGCCTGGAACTGCTTGTGGGACCAGATCTTGTCGGGGGGCACATGGGGGTCCTGATCTGGTGACGACTTGTACCACTTCTGGACGGAGACRTTGCAGAGGTGCCTGGCACTGGGGCAGGGACAGCAGGGCTGGGTCAGGGGGTGCCAGGGTGCTGGGGTGTGGGGAGTCGGGGTGGGGGGCACTCACCGCTCCAGGTGACACAGGGAGAAGGGCCGGGAGCAGAAGCGCAGGTAGCAGTCTTGGTAGAACCAGACGGTCAATGGCTTCCAGTCAGTCACCAAAAACCATTGCCGGATGTCGAATTTGGTGCCAAAGATGGTCAGCAGCTTCTCCACGTACTTCTGCACCACCCACCTGCCCACCTGCACGGTCGTGCAGCCCCGTGTCAGCTGCAGCACCTCCTCCAGCCGTGTTGTGCAGATGATGCCTGGGGAGCACAATGATGGTGGGACCCCTGCTAAGTGGGGAGCTTCTGTGTGCTCCCTGTTTCCCTCAGCCTTACCCCTGCCTTGGGATTCGGCACCAGGCTTGAGGATCCAGACGTTGAGCTTGCCCTCCATGCCAAGCTGGGGCAGCTGCTCTGCCAGGTTCTGCAGCAGGTTCTGACACTGCCTCCGCTGCTGCCTGGTCAGGACCAGCTTTGCCCCCTCACTGTGGGGCAGAAAGGGTCCTCAGCATTAGCTCTGCCATGGTGCCCCCATGCCCCCATCCCACTCAGCACTCACTGTGCCACACGGTAGTAGTCCTGCAGGAAACGCTCCCAGTTGATGCATGTCCTACAGGGGGACGGGGTCCTCCTGTCAATGTCGTGGTGCTGCAGAACACCYAGGTGCTCCTTACAGACCTCCAGGGCCTCTTCCAGCAGCTCAGGGTACAGGGGGGAGCCTGGCTGTGCTGTGGAATGCATGGGGCAAGAGTCGTGACTTCTATGCTAGCCTTGGGGCCAAAGCAGTGTGGRATGGATGGCTTTGGGGATGGGGAGCAGAGCTCCCATAAGGTGGGGCTGGTAGGAGGGAATGGGGGATCCTAAGCCACAGCCCTGAGCAGAGGCTGTGCCTCCAAGCTCAGCACTCAGATGTGTCCCTAGCTCTGACTCTCTGGCCATCACCCCTAGGCCCAACTCCATGTACTCACCTGCCCCCTTGGCAAAGTTTAGGACCTTCTTAGTCCCCATCGGCCCATCCCCAGCCTCCTCCAGGGCCAGTTTGAGCAGGCTGCGTGCTGCTGTCAGGCGGAAATCCTCTGCAAGAGGGASCATCATCGCCAGCCAGTCCTGGGCAGGACATTGGAGGAGTGGGAGCACAAGGAGGGGCAGGATGGCAACAGCCTTCAGCTCACCAATGAAAGCTTCAAGCTCGTTCACGGACCCCAGCCGGTAGCACCGRGGGAAGAAGGTGTTGGGGTCAGCTTGCTCAATCCACGGCAGGTTTTGTAGGCTGAGGCACAGCCCCTCCTGTTTAGAGGAGGTTGTTAGTCCCTGCTGGACGCCATCCCCCTTCCCCAGGGTCTCCAGCCTCCCACCTTGGTGGTGAATGCATCCACCCGGGCATAGTGGTTCACCACGTAGTCCTGCTGCAGTAGCTGTCGGTCTGTSGCCTCAAGGAAGTTGGTCCAGATGAAGTTTGGTGGCTGGTCCCGCACCAGGTAGGACTGGCAGAGGGAGGGAGCCAGGGTGGGACACAGATCTCCTCTCCCACCCTCATCCCCTGTCCCAGGCTGTGCCTGTGCCTGGGGGTCCCAGGGGAGGGGTGCTGGAGCAGTGGCAGAGCTCAGTCCCAGCCCTCTCAGCTAACCATGAGCTTATGGATGCCGCTGGGGTCCTCATCACAGTGCTCTTCCTCCTCAGGGYAGTGCAGGGGGTCTGTGGTCTCTTGAAAAGGCTCTGCCCCACCATGTGGGCTCAGCAGTGCCTTCCCCTGCCCACCATCACCATTACTTGTCCCAATCTCCAGCCGCAGCTTGTTTTGGTCACTGTGGTGCTGCTCCAGCTGTCTGCCCACACTGGGGAGCTTCTTCTCCACCCAGCCCCGGGCTCGCAGCTGCCGGCGAATGATGGGGTAGGGGCCCTGCACCACGAAGATCTTCTTCTCCTGTGCAGAAACCAGGCTCAGCTTGCCCCATTCCTGGTTCCTCTGGCTCAGCTCTCCTGAGCCAGAAATGCAATAAATGCAAGTGTGTGAAACTTGGGGGGTGTGAAATCAGGTCCCTCACCTTAATTGCCATTTCCACACGCAGCTTGGCCTTCTTGAGCAGCTCAACGTCGAGTGAGTGCTGGTGGCTGCTGGTGGTGGCTGCTGAGTGCCCTGTGACGACAGCCCTGTCTGAGTGCTATCCCCATGTCCCCAGTCCCACAGGGCAGGCATGGCGAGGTAGAAAACACTGACCTGCCTGCTTCTGCCTGACCGAGCCTCGGGCCCTTGAAAGGGCAGTCTCCGACTTGCTGAGCCTCCTGCTAGTGAGCCAGCTGCGCTGCACAGTCCCAGGAGGCCCCACTGTGCCCTTGTCCCCAGCCTGCTGGGCTGTGGGGKGGCTGAGGTGTACACTGCTCAAGTGCTGTCCCTGTTTGGGGGACTGTATGACCGCAGTGCTACTCTCTGTGTCACGTTGTCCCATGGTGGCCTGAGGATGAGGGGAACTGTGGGTGGCTCTTCCCCCTGTGAGCTGAGCAGGTTGCCCTATTCCCCTGTCCTGCTGGGGACTGAAGCAGGAGTCCAGTGCAAGACATGGCCCTTAAACCCCAGTACCACGTTAAGAATGCAGGATGTGGCTTCCCTAACTGCACCGCCGTGATGTCACAGCCCCAGCTCCAGCCACGGTGGCGCCACTGCCCTGAAGGGGGACAAGCAGCCCCTATACCCACAGCCTGCCATCCCCCACTCACACCTTACAGCCTGCCATCCCCCACTCACACCTTGCCCAAAATCCTTTTGTGTCCCACACCCCAAGCCCCTTAGTGCCCCCAGATCAGCTTCAGTCTTGTCACACTCTGCTGACATCCCCCACGGCCCCTCACACACCATCAGGGCCAACCGCACCGTTTGCCGTTGCTACACGGCGYCCCTGAAGTTCCATGCTGTGCTCCCATTCCATGAACCGCCCTCCAGTGCCACACGGGCCCCACCCCTCCAACCCCCCTGGGTGGCGCAGAGCGGCGGGAGGGAGGAGACAGAGGCACTGGATACAGCAAACGAGACCGTTTAAAAAACAAGACGAAACAGGGGCAGCGGCCGGGGCCGCGCTGCCGCAAGCGGGGGCTGCTCCCGCCCAGCCCAGAGAGGGGCAGGCAAGGCCTGGCCCCGCCCGGTGGTCCTCGAGGAACGGGAGCAGGCACAGGCACAGTGCCCGGCGGGCACAAGCACGGGGGAGCCACGGGGTCCTGCACCATGGCCTAAAACTGGAGAGAAAACACACGGCTGTTAGTGCTTGCTTGCGGCGTTCCGAGAGCCCTCACCACCCTCCTGGCACCCAGGACAGAGGATGAAGGTCGCCACTGCTCAGAGATCCATGCTCAGCTTCTCCCGCTGCCCTCCCCAGGCACTGCATGTCCATCTCAGCACCCACCAAAAGGGTCTTGCTCCCCAAGGCTGCTGCTGCCACTGAGCAAYCTCTGGGGGTCTCACAAGCTGGCACTTCATGAGCAAAGGGAGTACAAGAACCTTTGGCACTCCCTCCTCCCTGTCCCCGAGAGGGACAAGAGGTTACTTGGACAGGATGTAACCCTGTCCTCACTAATGGGACAGGGGGACTCTGGACACAAGGGCCACATTGGCTTTGAGCCCCACACCCCACTCCCAAAATCAGAGACACGCCTCCTCCCATTTCAGAGTCTCACATTTTTAAGGAACTCCTCCGCCACGATGCGAGCCCGGGCATTGACAGAGAGCTTCATCTCACTGATTTCYTTGTCGATCTCCTCCATGAAGTGGATGACAAAGTCCACCAGCTTGTGCTTGTACATCTGCTCCGTGTGGAAGTTTGTGATCAAGAAGCTGATGTCGTAGCCCTGAGCAAGAGAAAAGCACCCTAACCATTAGCACCCAAACCACTGGCCATGCAACATCACATCCCAGTTCTGCACTGGACATCCCACCAGTGCCAGGAGCAAAGGCAGCAGTTCCTTTGTCTCCTCCCTGTCACCTCACCTCCACGGGCTTCCTGCGCAGGATAAAGAAGTTCTCAGCCCTCATCATCATAAAACGCATGAATTTGTGACACAAGATCTTCTCGATCTCATCAGCCTGGAGAGAGAAAAGGGAAGTGAGGCTTCCCCACGGGCTGAGCTGCCAGCCCCCTCCCCAAACCCCCCCTTACCTGCTTCACCGCGATGCTGACGCGCACGGAGTTAATGGAGCCCTCGATAAGGACCTTCTCCTTCTCATTCCTGCTGATGATCACTGGCTGCAACAGCAGCTCTTTGCTGCTCCTGCGAGCAAAGGAAGGACAGAAGTGACTCAGAGCGAAGCGTTTACTGGTGGTTAACAGGGAAGGGGAGCCGCAGGGATCACGGGGATGCGGAGGCTTTGCTCCCGCTGCACGGAGATGTTCCTCCTCAGGGCAGACACTTCCTCGGTCCCAAGCTAGATCCCCCTCCTCCTCCCGGCAGCTCCCAGGCTCCCCGCCGGCMCCAGTCCTGTGCCTAGCGGCTGGGGGATGCCCAGCGCACGGCAGGAACGGGCCAGCAGCCCCCAGGGAAACAGCCAGGGATCCGCAGGGCTCCCGTGGTCCCCTCCCGCCCCCGTACCTGACTTCCACCTCGGGCTTGTTGTGCCGCTCCACCACCTGCGAGGAGAAGTTCTCCAGGCACAGCGCGGCCTGCAGCGTRGCGCGCACCGCGTTCAGGTACGGGCGGAGCGTGGCAGTCTGCGGGGACACGGCGGCAGCGTCAGACCCCCGACCGGAGCCCGGGCCACGGGTCTCGCCACCTGCCCCCGCCTCCGACCGGCAGCCCGCATCCCCCCCGGCCCCGCTCACTCCGCCGGCCCCGGTTCCGACCCTCCCCATCCTCCGCGCTGCCACCACCCCTCACCGGGTGCCCCCCGCCCTACCATGGTGGCGGTGGCGCTCCGGTCCCGACAGGCGGAAGTGGCCGATCACCTCTTCCGGGATGCGCGGCACCTCCCACTGCGGCGGGAGGGAGGGGGGGCKGCGGGAGGCTCCCGCCCTGCGGCCCGGCCCCCCCGCGGCACGGAGCGGGGTGGCGGCGGCGAGACTTCGCGCGGCTCCCCCCGCGCGCTGCCGCGCTTGGTACGTGCCTGTCAGCGCTTCCATATTAGGGAAGGGAGATGGAGAGCGCGCTGGGCCAATGAGCGGCGGCGCGGGGTGCGGCGCGGCCAATGGGGAGCGAGGGGCGGGGCGCCCGCGGGGCCGGAAGGGGCGCGCGGCCCAGACCCGGCCCCGCGGCCTCCGCTGCGCCCGGGGCCGCCCGTGCCTCGTCCCCGCAGCGACCCGTGATCCATCCCGGGTCCCGGTAGCACCCCCCCGTGATCTCCCTTCGGTTCYCCTYGGTGATCCCCCCACCGGATTCCTCGGCGCCCCGGTGATTCTCCTCCCCACGTCCCCCTCAGCGCCCCGGTGATACCCCGCTCCGGGTTCCACAGAGTCCCGATGCCCCCCGACCCTCCGTAGTCACCCACTCCACTCCCTTCCCTCCCGACTCTCCGCTTTCCCCGGCTGCCCCGTGCGCCCCTAGATCCCCGAGAGCCTCCCGAGTGCCCGGTCCCCACCGCCATGAGCGAGCTGAAGGACTGCCCGCTGCAGTTCCATGACTTCAAGTCGGTGGACCACGTGAAGGTGTGCCCCCGGTACACGGCCGTGCTGGCCCGCTCGGAGGACGATGGCATCGGCATCGAGGAGTTGGACACGCTGCAGCTGGAGCTGGAGACGCTGCTGTCCTCTGCCAGCCGCCGCCTTCGCGTSCTGGAGGCTGAGACACAGGTGGTGGCACCACGTTGGGTCAGGAACGGGCTCTCTGTCTGGCTCCGTCCCACCAAGAGGCTGCCTCTGGTCTGCCCATGGCCAGTGCCGGGCACAGGACCTGATGGGGCATCACTCTCTTCCAGATCCTGACGGACTGGCAGGATAAGAAGGGCGACCGGCGGTTCCTGAAGCTGAACAAGGACCACGATGTGGGCCCATCTGTCAAACACGGGAAGCCCAAGAAGCAGAAGCTGGAGGGCAAAGGGGGCCATGGGACTGGACCTGGGCCTGGACGGCCCAAGTCCAAGAACCTGCAGCCCAAGATCCAGGAATACGAGTTCCAGGATGATCCCATTGATGTGCCGCGCATCCCCAAAAACGACGCTCCAAACAGGTGTGTGGGTATTGGGGGGTACTGGGATCATCTTTCTCCTTCCTTGGAGCACCTGGCACAAGGACTGTCTCTAGCCTGAGAGAAAAGGTGCCACAGGGAGAAAGGGGATATACGTCACCTCCCAAGTGCTGCCTTGCAACTCCTTCACAATTCATTCATCCTTGCAGGTTCTGGGCRTCGGTGGAGCCATACTGTGCTGATCTCACCAACGAGGAGGTCAGAGTCCTGGAGGAGCTGCTCAAGCCACCAGAGGATGAGGCTGAGCATTACAAGGTGAAAAGCTCCTGAGCCCCCTCCTTTAGCATCCCTCCCTATCCCCTCTGGTACCTCACAGTGAGCATTCCTGCCTGGGATGCTGCCGTGGCACTAGGGAGGTGGGAGGCAAGGCGGAGGCTCCAGGAGCTGTTYTGAGCTTTGGTCTTGCAGATTCCACCACTGGGGAAGCATTACTCCCAGCGCTGGGCCCAAGAGGACCTGCTGGAGGAGCAGAAGGATGGAGCCCGGGCAGCAGCTGCTGCAGATAAGAAGAAAGGTGTCCTGGGGCCGCTGACTGAGTTGGACACTAAAGGTACCCCTATACCACCCCTGCCCATGCCCAAAGGGGCTGGAGTATTTGTGCCCAGTGGAGCTGAGCCCAAGAAGGGCTGAGGCTGCCCTGCTCCACTTCTCACCTCTGTGCCTTTGGGTTTGTTTTTTTCCTCTCACTCTTCCTTCCAGATGTTGATGCTCTCCTGAAGAAGTCAGAAGCCCAGCACGAGCAGCCAGAGGACGGGTGTCCCTTTGGTCCCCTGACGCAGCGTCTCCTGCAGGCCCTTGTGGAGGTGAGGGGCTCCAGTAGGGSCACGCCATGATGGCCTGGCACTGTGGGGCATCACTGCCAACACCCAGCACTGTGACTTGTTCCCTCATGCTCCCTTTGCTAGGAGAACATCATCTCCCCTGTTGAGGACTCCCCCATCCCTGAGATCACTGGCAAGGACTCAGGAGCCGACGGTGCYGGCACATCTCCCCGCAGCCAGAACAAGCCCTTCAGGTGAGCAGCTGAAGCGGGCTCAGGGCTCAGCACTGCCCATGGGTGCACCAAGCGCGTTGYTGGCTCGCTGCCCCTGTGAGTCACAGGGAGCAAAGGGCGTGTGGTGGGCAGCAGCCACTCTCCACTCTGGCAGTGTCCCCCACACCAAGTCACTGGAGGGGMGGATCAAGGAGGAGCTGGTGGCCCAGGGCCTGCTGGAGTCCGAGGACCGTCCGGCCGAGGACTCAGAGGACGAGGTGTTGGCTGAGCTGCGCAAGAGGCAGGCAGAGC